TTAATAACGCTTTTATTGAAAGATTAGGCGAAATGAAGATCTGTCTATTAGTTGTTACCATCATTGGCCTTAATGCTATCGCAACATGCAAAGGTAAAGCAATACGCTATTGTATATATCGTATATAACTATGCAAACAAAAATTGATGATGCTCCATACTTCATTGACAAAGCTCCTTGCAATTTTTAAGTGAAACGATGATTTAGAAGTTAATTAGTCGTAGATTAAATCAACTGATATGATTACTTTATAATTTACTTGCATACTCGTATTGAATATTTTTTAACTGCATCGTAATAGAGATAACTGATCGTCATGTATACAAGAACAATCAAGAACCTATTATAAATTGGTTTAAAAAAAGACAGGCGCCTCCTGACTCTGGTATTAGCTTATTTAATGAGAGACAGGAACCTGGTATTAGCTTATTTAATGAGAGACAAGAACCTGGTATTAGCTTATTTAATGAGAGACAAGAACCTGGTATTAGCTTATTTAATGAGAGACAAGAACCTGGTATTAGCTTATTTAATGAGAGACAAGAACCTGGTATTAGCTTATTTAATGAGAGACAGGGACCTGGTATTAGCTTATTCAACGATAGGCAAGCTCCTCCTGGTGCTAGTATTAGCTTATCTAATGAAAGACAAGCTCGTTCTAATACTGGTATTAGTCTGTTTAAGAAGAGACACATCTTTTCAGACGCAGATTTCAATAATTTGAAACGAAGGCAAGATCCCCTAATTAGTTGGTTTGAGGAAAGACAAGAGTCAGAAGACCCTCTCATTAGTTGGTTTAACGAAAGACACAATCCACTATTTAGCGAATTTAATGTTAGGCACGATCCCACTGCTACTTCTCATAAAGAGGAAGAGGAAGATAAAAATATTCCTGGGTTGAGTTTGTTCAAGAGAGAATTTCGTTCTAATGCGAAATTATCAAAAACCAATTATCACCCGCAATTAAGATTAAAGGGCAGTACTCATTTCAAAGGCATTTTATCAGCCAAGCGGAACGATAAATTGTCGGTTTCGCAGAAAAGAGATGGTTATAATAAAAAATTCAATACCGAGAAACTCCATCATAGCTCAAACATACTAAAATCGAAAGCCTAAGCCTATACCGGCCAAATTATTGGTAAAGATTAGTACTACTGTAGTTGATCGAATACAAATGTTAGCTTTGTGCTCAAAATAGAATTTAGCTTTCTTTCTGCTGTATGAGTTTACACGATAGATACTGTAATTGATATCAACCATTAGGATCAAATTTGGGTTGCTTTTATTTTTATATTTTCTTGATGTTCCTGATACCAGATACAATGTTTCAGTATAGTAAGAATACTAATGGGATTAAAGATTGAACAAGGATGAAATTAAAGTAGACCCAACAATTTTGCTTTTTTTGCTTATGGATTGAAATAGATTTTAAATGTTACTTTACGCTACATTAGAATGAATGGTAGGTAGGTCCTCTTGCAGTCCATATGTCGAGCATCCGTTTACGCGCGTACTCTACTTGTCGCGAGTTACTATTAGATGCAGTTTAATCTAGTCGTTCTAAAAATATTATAATACACAAGACCCAGCAGTATTCTAGTCGTTAATAATAATATATTATTAGCTATACTTGCCTAACAATAACAATAACTACGGTCAGGATTATTGTATATATAGTTAATATAGCGTATTTATTGATAAACTTTTTTATTTCTTTTTTAGGACGTGTACACAGGAAGGAGTATTATATTACCCAAGTGGGCTTTATTAAAGTTGCAAATAATTGGCGGAATTAACCTTGAGCCCATATAATGAAAAGATGTCATATAATATCATCTAGCAATTAAAGAAGATAGATTAGTATTGAGTAGAAGCTATAGCTTGTGCAATATCTACATTGAACGTTACCCAATCCTATTAATAATGTGACCCTATCCATAAAAAAATGTAGGTATAGCTGGTCATGAAGTAAGATAGATGACAATTAAAGATATACCTCATTTTATGCGGTCTGTACCTTGCCTTTATTAAATATGTAAACTATAATCTGATAATGTTCCAATAAACGATCATTTAAAAAGTCCTAAATATTGCGTTTTAAATATATCAAGCTGTTTACTAGGAGTACAGCCCACGGATATGTACTAGCTACTAACTGGAGATAAATTTAGAATGTGAATGCATGCGTTGTGTGATTTTTACGCGTCTGACGATGCTACAACTGTCTAGATTATGCTTATGGATCTTTTTAAATAAATTCATGCACAATATAAGTAGTACATTAGCTCTGTTATACTTTTTCTTTGCCCTGTTGATTTGTCTTTCATATAGTGTACGCGGTCTTTGCGGATAACTGGAGTTACTGTACACCTATTGCACACTAAATGTACAGTACTGTACTAAATGTGGTAGCCATGATGATGGAGAAAGAGATTTAGCAGATTTCCTACTAGCTTAAGATGCAAAAGTTGTCAATTGCAATAGTTCCATTGCTTAGTTACAGGCCATAGATTAGTCAACCCTCAATTTTCCCTCAGTTGCTCACCACCCCTTACCGAAACTCCGATTTTTCCATAGTCTTCCTAAAATGCGCAGCGCCGGGGGGGGGGTATTTATACTACTCTTCGATGCCTTTAGTTTAAGATGCAAAAGTTGTCAATTGTAATAATTGTATTGCTTAGATACAGGTCAGAGACTAGTCAAGCCCCAACTTTCCCTCTGTTCCTCACCACCCCTTGGGGAAACTCCGATTTTTGCATAGTCTTCCTAAAGGGTTGCACCGTACGGTGTACACTAGTGTAAAGTATATGCCACCCACCCTCGCTTCAAATGAGCGGCGCCGGCCGGGGTATTTATACTACTCTTCGATGCCTTTAGTTTAAGATGCAAAAGTTGTCAATTGCAGTAATTGCATTGCTTAGTTACAGGTCAGGGACTAGTCAACCCTCAATTTTCCAACTGTTCCTCACCATCCCTTACCAGAAGTCCGATTTTTCCATAGTCTTCCTAAAATGAGCTGCGCCGTGGTATTTATACTACACTTCGATGCTTTTAGTTTAAGATGCTAAAGTTGTCAATTGTAATAATTGCATTGCTTAGATATAAGTCAGAGACTAGTCAACCCCCAACTTTCCCTCTGTTTCTCATCACCCTTGGTAAAACTCCGCGATTTTTCCATAGTCTTCCTAAAATGAGCGGCGCCGTGGTATTTATACTACACTTCGATGCCTTTAGTTGAAGATGCTAAAGTTGTCAATTGTAATAATTGCATTGCTTAGATACAAGTCAGAGACTAGTCAACCCCCAACTTTCCCTCTGTTTCTCACCACCCTTGGTAAAACTCCGCGATTTTTCCATAGCCTTCCTCTAGGGTTGCAATTGTATAAGACCACTCTTCCAGGGGCGCGGCGAGCGCTGTAAAATGGTTGAAAGATGTTCCACTCTACAAGAGTGTCTTTCCATTTTGAAGAAATGGACTTTCAATTTGGCTCCAATTCCATGCAGATAGATCAGTACAACCTTGAGCAATTGGCTCTTGGTATTGTGATTCCTTTTTATTGCAGTATTGAATGATTCTATTTGTTTCAAGTTTGGAGTTCAAGCGATCATTCGCTGTTTGATGTCCGGTCGCTGCAACCATTTTACTGTCCAAGTCGCGTCGTAATACCGGTCTTGTATGTGACATATATTGTACAGTGAGTAGGTAGTGGTGTTTCTCTGTCCTTTTCAATGTAAGATTGGACATAAGAATTTGTCAAGTTGAATAATGAATTCATTGGGACTTTGGCTTGGGTTGCTAATGGATATGGAAAATTTTTTGTTGACTAGTCCCTGCTATTGTTGGCGTAGCATAGTCACAGTGCCAGTACTAGTGCGAAGAAAAAGCAAAAGCTTTTCTTCTCACCCCCACCGTGGTTAAGTGTCCCTTCTTTTTACTGTAAGATTGGGCATACGCAATGTACACTGTACAGACAGGTACAGAAAGAATTGGTAGAGTCCAATTGGGGCTTTGCTTTTTGTTCACTACTCACTAGGCGTAGCATAGTCAGAGTGCAGTACTAGCGCCAAGAAAAAGCCAAGCTTTTCTTTCTCACTAACGTGTAGTTGGACATGCTGTTCATTTTTACTGTACTGTAAGATTGGGCAGAAGAATTGGTTGAGTCCAGTAGGGGCTTTGCCTTGAGTTAACTACTGAAGTTGCTGCTATGGTAGGTATAGCATAGTCACAGTGCAGTACTAGCGCCAAGAAAAAATCAAACTTTTCTTCTCACCAACGTCCTACTAGTAGTTCGACATTAGACGTTCATTTTTACTGTAAGATTGGACATAAGAATGGGTTGAATAATTAATTAATTTGTTCTGATTAGTGACATTTTGCCTTGGGTTCCTAGTTAACAGCGCGAAGAAAAAGCATCTTTTGCTTTCAATACTGTACACTGTAGTGCACAGTACAGTGTACTGTACCAGAATGTGTAAAATAGATGTCGTTTTCACTTTTTGGTGTTATACTGGAAGCAAAGCCCTAAGGAACGACATCTGTTTTGCATCTATTTTATTTTATTTATTTTTCATCGATTTCATCTGTTTTACCGGTCTGTTTTACATCATCGCTTTCATTTTTACTGTAAGATTGGACATAAGAATAGGTTGAATAATTCTAATTGAAGACATTTTGGCGGGCGTTGTTGTATATACTGTACAGTACAGTAATCCTGTAGGACATGTGCAGTATTTTACACATTTTACTACAGTACTGAAAGGAAAATCTGCTTTTTCTTCGTGCTAGTACTGTATTTCTTGGTGTTCTACTGTCCACTGTACAGTACTGTACCAAAATGTGTAAAATACATGTCGTATTATTTCTTGCTGTTGTACTGGAAACAAAGCCAAAGTTAACAACTTGTGTTTTACAGTACATCTAGCCTGATCGAGCCGTAGCGTACAGTGTACAGTGTACAGTACGCCGTAAAAGACTGGCAGCGCCAGCGAAGCGGCCAAATCAACTTCCAGTCAACAACATCCAAGGCACCGCAAGTCACGTGCCACACACTGGAGTTGTTCTGCGGACCTCTACAGTACTGCACACTGTAGAGTGCAGAGTCTGTAGTACTGTAGACGAGGGAGGATCCTTTGCTCTGGGATCATGCTGTCAGCACTGTACACTGTACAGTACAGTACAGTGTACTGTAGACCGATGCGCCGCGTACCAGTACGGTCTAGTACAGACCAGTACGGCGCGCCGTTCCTCGCCTCGACAACAAGAAAGCGTAAGTACGTCCATACGTCCATACAGCTGTGGGATACAGCAGAGCAAGTTGCAGCAGGAGTTGAATATTGGACTTGATTTTGGATTTGCAGTTTTTTCAAAAGTCGTCAGCAATCGCTGCCTTGTAAGGATTAGAAGGAGTAATCAACCTTGTTTTGTCGACCATGCCGCTATTTGGTTCCAAGCAGAAATCGCCCTATGAGCTTGTTCGGATTTCTCGCGATGCTTTGGCGACAATCATTAAAGAAGGTTCTGGCAAGAAAGCAGAGAAGGTAAACCCTACTTACAACGTTGTCATCCACTACTGCTGTTGTCGACATAGTGCTTTGAAGCTTTCCGACTTGGTGTTCATCTCAACTCATGACTCCGCCATCATTTTCTAATTGTAAAGTGTTATCCTATACCATAGTCATCAATGCAATGAATGGCATTGGTGGGCTTGAACGGTATTGTCTCGGTTGTAGTCTTAACTTAAGTTTAGAGTCTGATCGATGATAATGAATGGGTTTCTCTCTAGGGCTAGGCTAACTTGGCATACTATTGCCTTAGTAGTAATGAGACTACTCTACAAAACATGGGTAGTACTATACTTGCTTAGGACAACATACAATATCCAAGTGCAATCCATTTTAACCACAACGACATTGTAGAATTCCAATTTCAACCATCGGAAACGATACGACTCAATCGATTGTAGACACCATGATTTTTCAATCTTGCTGTAATAACTTCCTTCGCCTTATTCTTTGTCACAATGCAATTGGGTAATAACGCATACAGAGTATCATAGAAGTAGACAT